GGTGTGTAAGGGGATTGATCAAGATATTTATACATATAATACGCTTTTGGATGCTGCTTGCAGTGGTGGGCCCATTGATGTGGCTTTCGAGATAATGTCTGATATGCTCACCAAGAATATTTTGCCTAACGAGGTAACTACTGTAATTCATGGATGTGCCAAAGCAGGGAGACTGGAAAGGGCCCTCAGTTTGTTCAATGAGATGAAGTTTGCAGCTGTTAAGTTGGATAGAGTGTCTTATAATACCTTACCTGCTATTTATGCTAGCCTTGGCAGGAACAAGGAGGCTCTAAATATTAGCAAGGAGATGGAGAGTATGGGGATTGAGAAGGATGTTGTCACTTTCAATGCTTTACTGGATGGGTTTGGTAAAGAGGGGATGTAAGCTGGGGTTAAGGAACTGTTTGCAGAGATGAAAGCTGAAAACCGCTTGCCTAACTTATTGATTTACTCAACAATAATCAGTGTTTATTCTAAACGGGGTTTATATCAAGATGCTATGGAGGTCTACAGAGAGTTCTAGCAACGTGGCATGAAGGCTGATGTTGTTTTCTACTGCAAACTTATTGACGCATTATGTAAAATGGGGGAATCTTCTGCAATGCTTCTTGATGAGATGATGAAGGAAGGGATTCAACCTAATGTTGTAACTTATAATTCAACATTAAATGCCTTTGGTCTGTAGTCTGTTTGTAGCTGTTGAATATCTAGAGTCTTGGATGGGATCTTCGCCACTACCTTTTCTTGAGGATGTTTCTCGTGATAAAGGTGAAGATGAAAGGGATGATAAAATCATAAAATTTTTTGAACAGTTGGCTCATGGAAAATCATGTAGTGAAAAGTGGGATATGAGGGGCAAGCAGGACTTTCTTTGTGTCTTGGGAGTTTTCCAGAAGATGCACGAGAAGGAAATAAAGCCAATGTTGTCACCTTTTCGGCAATTCTGAATGCCTGCAGGTATGAAGCACAAGTGTTTCACAACTCTACTATCTCGTAACTTGGTGCACTTATTATGGCTATTTATTTTCTCTGTTGCATTAAGTTCTTCAACCGGATATGTTTATTTCCTTCAAGTTAACACATAATAAAATGGAACTTCTTCATAGGCTGGTAAAATGAAGTTCTTTCAGTTATAAGAACAAGCAATAACATGTATAATGGGTCAACTTTTGGGCATCAATCAGTTGCATGTTTGTATAATCTCGCTTACTATGGTTAATGTCAGTATCGTGGCTTTCTCTGTGGTTGCAGCCATTGTAGTTCATTTGAAGAGGCTTCACTATTATTAGAGGAACTATGTCTCTTTGATAATCATGTGTATGGGGTAGCGCATGGACTTCTCATGGGTGGTCATAATGAGAATGTGTGGTTGCAAGCTCGATCCCTTTTTGATGCGGTGAAACAAATGGACACTTTGATTGCTTCTGCATTTTATAATGCTCTGACAGACATGCTGTGGCATTTTGGCTAGGTAATTTATTATTTAACTTAAAGGTTATCCATCTCAACTGGAGTAGTAGCTTTTCAAGTGAAATAAATGAAATTTGTTGGAAAGCATTGTGCCAGTTCTTTATTTTAGCTAAATGATTTGTGTGGGATCTATGCTGGTGCATCTTTAGTCCGTGGTTTCTGTTTAATTCAATTCTTCTTTTTTTCTTAAAATGTTTTTCTGCTATTTATTTATGGTTTCTGTTTAATTCAATTCTTCTTTTTTTCTTAAATTGTTTTTCTGCTATTTATTTATATGTTTTACATTCTGACCGATAGCTTTCAAGGGGTGAGGAAACGTATGCTTACACTTGGAGAAAAATGTGATTTACAGTTGTGGATACTGCCTTGCTCACTTCCATTTAAGCAGACACATTTGGCAGCAATTCTGTCTACGAGTTGGATTCAATTTAAAAACTCCAATCTGTTAACACATATTGAAATAAAAAATGTTGAACTTGTTCTTACTACAAAAACATTGGTCATTATGTTCATTTCCACAGTTTCAAGGCTTTTATGATGATTTTTTAATTTATAATGGAAAGATAAGGAATGTATATCTATACTCTACACATAAGCTTTGAAACGGGGTTCCATATTTTTGAGCTGTGAAGTTAATCATTCTTAATGTATAGTTCATAATCAGCTTCAGCTAAATGAAAGAATGGGACTATCTAAATTTTAATTGCTGAGTCTCCTATTTGGTGCTCTCACCAAGAAGATCTCCTCGGATTTTCCCGTCTGATTTTTTTCCTTCAAAATAACTCAAATAATTATGCCATAAATGATTCTTATTTTTTCTATTTTTTTTTTATTTTTTGCTCAGAGAGTTTTTGTAGTTTAGTGGCGAAGTTCCTACTTTCTACCTCGAAGACAAAGTTTCGAATTTGCCCGACCCAATCTTATTTTCCTTTTTTACCTGTCAAAAAAAATTATGCCGTAAATGTTTGCAATCGGATGTCTTGGTTGTTTAGCCATTTTTTATGCATTGATGCTTTTCAATTAGTAAAGAGTTGGTGTTGTACTTTCCTTTAGTGTCTGCGGCAATAAGATAACAGAATCTGATCAAACGTGTTTATGTTATTATAAAAAAAATCTCTTTAGCTAATGCTTTTTGGTGGTCAGCTTTCTGTCTAAGTTGATCTTGGAGTTATAAGAGTCTTGTGGAGGCAACTTAAAGGGATTCATAATTCATCTTTCTATTTTTCTTCGCAGAAACGAGGTGCCCAACTTGTTGTGCTTGAAGGAAAACACCGACAAGTATGGAAAAGTACTTGGTCTGAATCTTGCTTAGATTTGCATGTAATGTCTTCAGGTGCTGCAAGGGCAATGGTTCATGCCTGGTTGCTCATTATTCAATCCATTGTATTTGAAGGCCAAGAGTTACCGAAGCTGCTAAGGTAGTCTTTTATCAGGAAAATTCACTTTCGTGTTGTCTTTTATGTGCATTGATTGATTTGATGAGACGGTGTTTTCATTATGCAGCATCTTGACGGGTTGGGGCAAGCATAGCAAGGTGGTGGGTGATGGTGCACTTAAGCGTGCTATTGAAGCTCAGCTAACCAGCATGGGTGCACTTTTTCAGATCGCAAAGTGTAATATTGGAAGGTTTATATCAACAAGGGGCTGTGGTCACTGCCTGGTTATGGGTATCAGGCACGCTAAAGTTACTCGTTCTTCAGGATGACAGAACGAACCCAGAAGGCCCAAGGTTTGGTCCTATTCTTAATGTGCAACAGCTCCCATTATAGTTGGTTGGATATCATATGGACATGGATTGTGACAGGCCTATCTATTGTAAATTATTTTTTATATTCTGAAATGGCTCTCTGTGTTCGAGCATGGCTGTGGATCCATTTGGGTGCACATGCGCATGTGAATGAGTGAGTGTGCTTATTGGGGGTGTGAAATTGTGCATGCCATGTTCTCATTAATGCAGTATGTCCTGCAAGTTTCAAGTTAGATCTTTGGTATCTTTCTCATTGGCCCTTGTTACAAGTCCACTGGTTTGTTAAAAAGGTTAGGAGTTTCATGCAAACCTTCTGCTTTATTAGGCTAAAATTTGATATATCTATTTTGATGTCAATGGACCAGTACTTTATGCTGAACATTTCTTTTTCCAACAGAAGGCTAACTGTTTATAGTTTATTAATAGTCGATATTACAGCATTTTGGGATTTCCCCCCTTCACATGCAAATGATCCTAAAATCTAAAGTGGTCTAGACTAATCTGAATCTTAGCCTAAGGTCCAGGGGCTAGTCTCATTGAAAATTTTGCAAGACACTATGCCGAAAATGAAGGTTTATTGGGTAAAACACACAAGAAGCCGAGGGGGGTCCACGGTTTCTTTATTGGTGATGCCCCCCCCCCCTGCCCCCCTCTTTTGAGGGGAGTGTACACGAGCGTGTCAGCCGACCGTGTACAAATAACATAATTCTATTATGTATACGGTTTTCGTAAATGGATGGGAAGAGACGGGACATTTAAGTGATGTGATACCGTGTTGAACTACTCCATTCCCTCACCATGAGATTGTTTGGTGATCTGACCGTCCGTGTGCGAATAGCATAATTCTATCATGTATATGGTTTTCGTAAATGGATGGGAAGAGACTTAAATTCAGGACATTTAAGTGATGTGATATCGTATTGAACTACTCCATTCCCTCACCATGGGATTGTTTGGTGATCTAATTGTAAATGGTTTATGCGTACCAATACTGGTTTTGGCTTGAATGTTCACAGATTATATTAGAGCCCTTTAACGTGATATTATAGCCTGTGAAGTGATCATATCCTGCATAAAGTGTCAGTGAATTATCAACCATCTTCTAGGTCATAGATGAGCGTTAAGAAATAATAAAAGATATAAAAATAATCATTAAAAAGACAGTCCATTTAATGCCATGTGATTCTGGAGCTCGTAACTGGTCATTTTTAAATGCGTTGAACAAATAATTTGGAGACCTTAGCAAACTGCAATGAAATCATTTTATTGACAGCCTTTAAATAAGCTTACGAAAAGTCGCATTGACAGAAATGAAGATGGGCACAAAGAGTGAGAATGACAGGAACTAAGGTGGTTGAGAGTGGGAATGCAATGCACCGCCACGATATTACCTTTTTCTGGGCCCAAATGAAAATTGAAAGTCTTGGGCTTTACCTCGAATACAGAAAGAGGGTTTCTGTTCCAACTGCAAGCATTTATTAGCCATCTCTCATTGTTTCCGTATATATACTCTGATTCATTGATACATTGCTATGTACAAGATGGAGAGGGCTTTTAAAAATGGTGGAGTGTTTGTTATGATTTTGTTTATAGTTTTGTTCATTGTGCAAATTGTTGATGGGCGGAGAATCGAGGAAGAAACCATTGGTGGAGGCGGTCTCGATAGTGGTGTTGGAGGAGGTGGCGGATTTGGCAAGGGTGGTGGACTAGCTGGAGGAGTTGGTGGTGTTGCTGGTGGAGGAGGTGGATTTGGTGGCGGTGCTGGAGGCGGAAAAGGTGGTGGTTACGGTGGAGGTGTCGGAGGGGGGGCAGGTGGTGGTATTGGTGGAGGTGCTGGGGGTGGGGGTGGCAAAGGTGGTGGTTTTGGTGGAGGGGTAGGAGGTGGAAAAGGTGGTGGTATTGGTGGAGGTGGCGGATTTGGAGGAGGTGCTGGGGGTGGAAAAGGAGGTGGTATTGGTGGAGGCGTAGGAGGTGGAAAAGGTGGTGGTTTCGGAGGAGGTGGTGGTGGAGGCAAAGGCGGTGGTGCTGGGGGTGGCAAAGGTGCTAGTTTTGGTGGAGGTGCTGGGGGTGGAAAAGGAGGTGGTATTGGTGGAGGGGTAGGAGGTGGAAAAGGTGGTGGTATTGGTGGAGGGGGGGGATTTGGAGGAGGTGCTGGGGGTGGAAAAGGAGGTGGTATTGGTGGGGGCGTAGGAGGTGGAAAAGGTGGTGGTATTGGTGGAGGGGGGGGATTTGGAGGAGGTGCTGGGGGTGGAAAAGGAGGTGGTATTGGTGGGGGCGTAGGAGGTGGAAAAGGTGGTGGTTTCGGAGGAGGTGGTGGTTTCAGTGGAGGTGTAGGAGGGGGGGCAGGTGGTGTTATTGGTGGAGGTGCTGGGGGTGGGGGTGGCAAAGGTGGTGGTTTTGGTGGAGGGGTAGGAGGTGGAAAAGGTGGTGGTATTGGTGGAGGTGGGGGATTTGGAGGAGGTGCTGGGGGTGGAAAAGGAGGTGGTATTGGTGGGGGCGTAGGAGGTGGAAAAGGTGGTGGTTTCGGAGGAGGTGGTGGTAGAGGCAAAGGTGGTTGTATCGGTGGAGGTGCTGGGGGTGGCAAAGGTGCTGGTTTTGGTGGAGGTGCTGGGGGTGGAAAAGGAGGTGGTATTGGTGGAGGGGTAGGAGGTGGAAAAGGTGGTGGTATTGGTGGAGGTGGGGGATTTGGAGGAGGTGCTGGGGGTGGAAAAGGAGGTGGTATTGGTGGAGGCGTAGGAGGTGGAAAAGGTGGTGGTTTCGGAGGAGGTGGTGGTGGAGGCAAAGGCGGTGGTGCTGGGGGTGGCAAAGGTGCTAGTTTTGGTGGAGGTGCTGGGGGTGGAAAAGGAGGTGGTATTGGTGGAGGCGTAGGAGGTGGAAAAGGTGGTGGTTTCGGAGGAGGTGGTGGTGGAGGCAAAGGCGGTGGTGCTGGGGGTGGCAAAGGTGCTAGTTTTGGTGGAGGTGCTGGGGGTGGAAAAGGAGGTGGTATTGGTGGGGGCGTAGGAGGTGGAAAAGGTGGTGGTTTCGGAGGAGGTGGTGGTGGAGGCAAAGGCGGTGGTGCTGGGGGTGGCAAAGGTGCTAGTTTTGGTGGAGGTGCTGGGGGTGGAAAAGGAGGTGGTATTGGTGGGGGCGTAGGAGGTGGAAAAGGTGGTGGTTTCGGAGGAGGTGGTGGTAGAGGCAAAGGTGGTTGTATCGGTGGAGGTGCTGGGGGTGGCAAAGGTGCTGGTTTTGGTGGAGGTGCTGGGGGTGGAAAAGGAGGTGGTATTGGTGGGGGCGTAGGAGGTGGAAAAGGTGGTGGTTTCGGAGGAGGTGGTGGTAGAGGCAAAGGTGGTTGTATCGGTGGAGGTGCTGGGGGTGGCAAAGGTGCTGGTTTTGGTGGAGGTGCTGGGGGTGGAAAAGGAGGTGGTATTGGTGGGGGCGTAGGAGGTGGAAAAGGTGGTGGTTTCGGAGGAGGTGGTGGTGGAGGCAAAGGCGGTGGTGCTGGGGGTGGCAAAGGTGCTAGTTTTGGTGGAGGTGCTGGGGGTGGAAAAGGAGGTGGTATTGGTGGTAGAAACCAATAAAGTACTTATTTTGTAGGGATTTTGATAATTTATTTTTTGACCATTAGAGGTAAAGTGAGTTTTATCTGTAAGAGAAGAATTCAAAAATGACGGCGTAATATGAAATAATGGTAAAAAAAACTGATTTTAGTTGGTTTTTTAGCTGTACCAAACAAGCTCAAAGTTTATTTACTTTTAACCACGCGTTCTTTAAAAAAACTTAATAACTTTCCAAATAATAGGCAAAAATAGGTGCTAAATATTAACAAAATGATAATAATCTGTCTTTCATTGTCCACCGTTTCGGCCGCCAAAAATGTATCCTACATTTAGCCTCCTATTGTCAAATTTATAAATAAAAATAATGGCAACGAATTCAACAAAATGTATTAATAATAATGAGTAATAGTATAAAATGTTTAATATTTAATTTTGTTTTATAATTATAATAAAAACTTATTCTAATAAATCAGTTTTTTTCTTTTTTTCTTTATTCTAAAATCTCTCCACCACCTTCCAAATTCACACCCATGCGATAAAAAAACAAATTTCTCAGAAACAACTGCAGGCAGCATCCATGGATACAGATTTCTCAGAAGACACGGGTCTCTTGTACCATTATAATTTTTATTTTTTTTTTTATAATTGTCCTTGTTTGAGCTCTATTCTTGGGGTGGGTGTGGGAGGCGGGGGGGTAAACAATTATAAAAAAAATTCAAAAAAAAAATTTAAATATATATATATATATATATTCTTAAACAGTGTTTTGATATCATTTCATCCATATATTTTTCAATAAAATAATATTACACGCACATTCAAAAATTTTCCTTTTTTTTTAACCTCGTAGATAAAAACGAGCCACCGTCCGCACTAATGGTATACATTCATGTTGTGGCTAACCAAAATCACACAGCAATTCTCATCCCCAACCGCCCGAACGTCATCCTTGTACATATCTCTAGTCTCTACAGCTTTCTTTCTTTATCTCCTTATTTAGTTCAGTTACAGTGACTCTGTAAGTTTTTTGGTTATATATACATCATATTGCTATGGCACTCCCAAATGATCCTACCAACTCAATCTTCCATGTCTTCAAATCCAGCGAAAGACATAACATCTTTGAACTTGTTGATGGCAAGCTTTGCGTGACAAATGTGCCCTTGCTCATCGAAATTCCAAGAAATGTCACTTTAAAAGTTTTTCTTCAATATGCCAATCCTCTGATGCTCCCCTTCCACTGTTTGAGCGTGTCCAATCCCTATCTTTCAAGTAAGGATTCCTTGGGTTCCTCAAGGATGAATCTTCTGACAGGCTAATAAACACCACAGGGAAATTTAGTGAAAGGGATTTTCTCAGCATTTTCAGGTTCAAAACATGGTGGTCTACTCAGTGGGTAGGGAATTCGGGTTCAGATCTACAGAAGGAAACACGATGGATGTTGTTTGATGTGCCTGGAACAAAGTCTTACGTTGTCATTGTGCCAATAATTGAAGGCAAATTCATGTCTGCTTTTCACCTTGGAACTAAAGGTTGTGTCCTGATCTGTGCTGAAAGTGGCTCTACACTGGTGAAATCATCATCTTTTCATGCTATTGCCTATGTTAATGTATCTGAAAATCTATATAATTCGATGAAAGAGGCATACAGTTATATTAAAGTTCATCTCGATACATCCAAACTTTTGGAAGAAAAATCAGTTGCGTCCTTAATAAATAAATTTGGTTGGTGCACTTGGGATGTATTTTACTTGACTGTAGACCTGCTGGAATCTGGCATGGGTTCAAAGAGTTCTCAGATGGTGGGATTTCGTTAAGGTTTCTCATCATTGATGATGGCTGGCAAAGTGTCAACTTTGAGGTACAAAACCCGAATGAGTACGTGAAAAGTCTTATTGTTGCAACTATTCAAACGATTGCTAGGCTTCACAGGTTTGATGAATGTGAAAAATTCATGAAGTACAAGGGTGGATTCCTGTTGGGGTATAATAGTCCTCCATTCGATCCCAAGAAGCCAGAGATGTTGATTTCCAAGGCAAATGAATTAGATTTAACTGAAAAATATCATAATAAGGCAGCTCAATCTGGGATCACTGATTTGTCTCGGTATGATATTCAAATTGAGAAACTGAAAAGTGAGTTGGATGGAATGTTTGGCTGAAAAGAGGGAAAAACTTCCAGACAAGGATGTGTAAGTAGTTCTTGCAAATCCAAAAACTCAGGAATGAAAGCTTTCACAAGGGATTTGAGGACGGATTTCAAAGGATTGGATGATATATACGACTGGCATGCGTTATGTGGTGCCTGGGGAGGGGTGACGCTTGGAACTGTAAGTATTATGCCCTAGGTCCAATCAACTTTGGACATAAATACTTTTATATATAATTAATGCAATTAAATGGCAGATCTATTATTTAATTAATAGACAATTAAATAAATAATAGAGTCCGTGGATTCAAATATTTGTAATTTGTTAATCACAAAGAGTTGTGATTGTGAGATATAAATTACATCTGATTGAATCTTAAATCATCCGTGGTCGTAAGTAATAACGAGATACGGATATCGTTATTACGGATAGACCATCACGTGTGGCATTTCTTACTTGTGAAGTAAGTAGCCGATCTCACAAGTTAAAGTGTGGTGACACTTAAATAAACACGTGGATGTTTGTTATAGAACAAAACATTGGAGACCCGTCGAGAGATTCCACATGGATAACTATCTGAGTGTCGGTGGTTAATCTCTAACGTTCGGTAGTGAAATTGGTCCTTTGACTTGAGGTCGTCATGGTACCTTATATGAGGACAGTCATACTTTGGCGGTGTTGGATGTTGCTCTGAAAAGGGCCGCTAATACGACATCGTTCGGGTACGTCAAGAATCGTATGAAGGTTGTGATTGATCAATAAAGGATTCGTCACTCTTAGATAGTAGGAGATTATGATCTGCGTTTCATTCAATTAAGTCAATGATGAAATCCTTGGCCAAGGTGTACTCATAAGTCGAAAAGGAGTTTTCGA